CCCGTTCATGCTCTGTCTCTCTCTGTCCCAAAAATAAATAAAAAACGTTGAAAAAAAAATTTAAAAAGAAAAAAAAAAGGAATGGAAACTCCCACAAAAACAAAACCGCACTGAATGGATTAATCACATTAATTACGACTGCGGTCAGTGCTGGGATTTCGAGGGAACCCGATCTGTCGTGGCAGAGTCTGCAAAAGTCTCCCCCGAGGAAGTGGAGGGAGAGAGAGAAAACACTCTTTCTGAAAACACAGGGTTGACTCTGTTACTCCCCTGTCTTGGCCCCCACCTTCCAGGGCTGCGCTCAGGTCCTCAGGACTAAAATGTAACCTGCTCAGGCCAGGCGCCTGGAACCATCGCAGCCAAGTCCTTCCCCTGCGTGGTTCCCTCCACCCGGCCTGGTCTCCTCACTTCCCTTCTAACTTTTCAGGAGACGGGAGGGACAGGGTCAGATCAGGGCTATCATGGCTGAAAGCCTAGGTAGGACAGGGTGTCTGAAGCCACAAAGCTCTCCCTTTCAGGCTGGTAGGAGTGTGTTTTGCAACAACCCCCAGGGAGACACATGTGGCCAAGGTTTCTCAAAATTCTAGTTACATGAACCCTGTGACCCAGAAAACGTGCCAAGTATTTACCCTGCAGACATACACGTGAAATGACACAAGGTTATTCCCTACCAGACTTTTTGGTTATTCATTATGGGACTTTTCTGCTGAGCAAAGGAATGGAAATACATGTAAACCTCTATGGTTAGGGTTCTGGTTATGTAAGTTACGGTGCAGCTGTAGTATGGAATTCTTTGTAGCCAGGGAAAATTACAAGGAAGCTCTTTGAGTAACAAGAGATGTCAACAGTGAAAAGAAGCAGAACAGTATACACGGCAATGCTTCCCTCTTCGTCTGCCCAAAGAAGAGAGAACGTGAGTTTTCTGCTCCTATATTTGCTGTCTCTGGTGGGTACATGTGGAGGTGCTTCAGGTGGGGGGGATGGGTCACTGAGGGACAGGGTATGAAGGAAATCTTATTTTCTTTTCTTTTTTTTTATTTTTTTTTCAACGTTTTATTTATTTTTGGGACAGAGAGAGACACAGCATGAACGGGGGAGGGGCAGAGAGAGAGGGAGACACAGAATCGGAAACAGGCTCCAGGCTCCGAGCCATCAGCCCAGAGCCCGACGCGGGGCTCGAACTCCCGGACCGCGAGATCGTGACCTGGCTGAAGTCGGACGCTTCACCGACTGCGCCACCCAGGCGCCCCAGGAAATCTTATTTTCACTGAGTACTGTTCCTTTTGAAGTGTGGCCAGTGTGTGATAGGTTGTCTGGTCCGTAATATATACGATAAAATACTTAGATAAGCGGAGAACCCAGCAAAACCAATCGGTGTTAGTAAAGTTATAATGGTTATCATTGGGCAGCAGTAAAGAACGGGGCACAAGGCAGGGGGGCTTCTGGGATGCAGTGGGGAGTTCTACTTCTGGATTTGGATGTTGTTTACACCAGAGCGTGGGCTATGTGAAAAGTTATTTGAGGTATTTGTGATTTGTAGGTGTGGCTTTTCCCCCCTGGATATGCAGTATATTTCCATAAAAAGTTTTCAAAGTATCAGATAAAAGGGTGGAGGCCAGGAGAAAACCGGGGCTGGAGTCTAGGTGGACAAAGGTGAGGCCTGGGCTCCACTCCAGGCAGAGAGAAGAGAGAGGAGGAGGCAGGACAGAGAGATTCAGGGGGCAGGTGCCGCTGGCTGTGGGGGAAGGGGCAAGGAGGAAGATCTCCAGGTTTCCGGTCCATGGGTGGTAGGTCCTAGGGACTAACTGGGGACCTGGAAAGGGGAAGTGGTTTGGGGGAGATGAAATACTGAGGGTGGAGGGTGGGGAGTGTGTGTGTGTGTATGCGCGCGTGTGAATGTGGAGAGGTCTGGGCTGGAGACTGACTTAGAAATGCTGTTAGGGAGAGAGAGAGAGAGATCTGAGCTCCAGGTGGGGGGAGTCAAAGGCCGGAGGAGGAGGGGCAGTAGCGGGGGAGGGTGGGGCGTGCAACCCTGCAGCCCTGCAGCCAGGATTCCCTGGCAGTGTGACCCTGGGCAAACTTCACGCTGTCTGAGCCTCAGTTGCCTCATCGGAGAAATAGGGGTCAAACTAACCCACCCCATAAGGGACGATGCAAAACTCGGCCAGTGATGCACAAAGGGCGGGCGCGACCCGTGGAAGGTTCGAGTCCCCGGTCAGCTAATTCTGTAGGGCCGGCAGGAGTCCTCGCCCTGGCTGTGTCACCTCGGCCCGGACGTCCTGGCAAAGCCTCAGTTTCCCCACTTGAAAAGCGGGAAGGTCAGCGCCCCCGAGGCGCTGGGGGGGGGGGGGGGGCCCCCACCCGGAGGCGGCGGCGCCCCCCCCCCCCCCCCCCCCCCCCCCTGGATCGCGCGCGGGCGGCCCCCCCCCCGCGGGGGGGGGGGGGGGGGGGGGGCCCTTACCCGGAAGGCGCTGGTTTCCAGCCTGGCCCACCCCTCCGCTGAATAGGCCTGGGGGACACTCACCGCTCCGAGCCGGGACTCACGCCGCTCCGGTCCTCCCGCCCCTTTCCAAGGCAGGGTCACCGTTTTGCACTGTTCCGACACGTGGCCCGCCCCCGCGGTCCGCGTCCCGCCCACCCAGGCCGAGCCGCCCAATCGGCGCTCGCCAAGCTCTGCCCCCGACCCTGAGGCCGGCCAACCTACAAGCGGAGCTGCTTAGCCCTATTTGGAGGGGCGGTGCCGGGCAGGATGTCCATCCTGAGAGCGTGATTGGTCCGCCGGTGGGAGGGGGCGGGAAGGCAGCGCGTCCGACCAATGGGGAGCCGGGAAGGGCGTGAATGGCGGGCCCGGGACAGAGCGGCTCGGTGAGTGCAGAGACAGCGAATTCCAGCTGGGGCGGTGGGTCGCCCTCCTGTGGTCTAGAGGAGACCCCTGAGGCCCAGAAAGAGGGAGTGAGAGGTGTGCCCAGGGTGGAGGCAGGCCTGGGGTTCCAACGCTGGCCTTTGAGTCAAGAGTCAGAAACTTATCAAGAGACCCAAGCACTTTACAAGAAAGGGAACTGAAGTCCTTGCAACCCCGCTCAGTCTCAGTTTCCCCATCTGTACTGCATCTGCCTCCCAGGGTGATGTTTGTAATATTTAGACTCTGTGCTTGGGAATGGGGTTGAGAAAAAAATCTCGGAATGAAATCCAAACTACTCCCAATTCATGTCGGCCTTTTTGATCTCTGTGACCTCATCTCTTACCGCGATCCCCCTGCTTACTCTACTTCAGCCACCTCAGGGCCTTTGCGCATGCTGTCTCCTGTGCCCAGAACCCCAGACCTTTTCTCAGCCAGCTCCTTCTTGTCATTCAAGGCTTTCCCTGAGCACCAGATGTCAGACAGACACTCCATCAGGTCTCTGCTTTATTTTCTTCACAGCACTAATTCCAATCTGAAATTGGAAGTTTATGTTGCATTTTAAAAAGGTACCGGCATATTCATTTACTGTCGATCACCCCTACCTGTGCCCTGCCCCCCAAACCCCTTAAATGTTTATTTAACAGTTTATTCATTGCCGAATCCTCGGCACCTAGATGGGGCCTGACACATAGTAGGTGCTCAGTACATTTTTGAGAATAAATGAGACAAGACCAGACATTAGGCAGAGATGAGCCAAGGTGAGAGGGAACTGGAGAGGCAGACACTGAGAAGATGGGGCTGGGGAAAAAGAAGAGAGAAGTTGGGGGTGTGGGAGAGTGTGAGGGGCACCTCTGGCAGAGGCAGAAGTGGGGGACCTGAACCGGGGAGCCCTGTGAGGCCGTGGTCATAGGTGGGGCTCTGGGCTTGATTCATGTTCCCAGGGGCTTCCAGGAGGGGAGTGGATGGGACAAGGGGTTCCTGGGGGTGTTTGCTAAGCTATCATGAAGGGGACCTCTGATTTGTCCCAGGGTGCGGGGGTGGGTCGGTCATCATGGGGAGCAGTTCCCCCAGCCCTCAGGGGTTCCCTGAGAGTGACAGGCACAAGACGCCTCCCACCTGCCCACCCAGTCCCCCTCAGGAGCCCAGAGCCCGTCCACTTCCTCCAGTGCATTCAGGGTAGGGGGCAGGCGGTTATAGAAATGTGAGGCCTGCCTCAGGTCTGGCTGGCCCCAAGCACAGTGGGATAGACCAGATGGCACTGAGGGACACTCTGGGGTGAGTGCAATGTCATCAAAGAGGTCGAGGGTGGAGGCATCCAGGGCGGCGAGACTTGGGCCGGGGCTGGCGCAGGGCTCCTCAGTGGGGGCCACAGCACAGGCCACCCCCAGGAAGGGGGACGGAGGTGGCGGGGGCGGCCTTCGGGGTGGCGGTCTCTGGGGAGGTGCCTTCTGAGACAGGATAGACAGGGCCAGGCGCTGGGTGGCAGCCTCGATGTTGGCAAACTGCCTGCAGAGAGACAGACATATGAGCTGTGTGGCCGTCAAGCATTCGCCTCCTGTCTGCCCTCCCGGGAGTGGTTTCCCTCTTCCTTTCCTCTCCATCTTTTTTCTCCGTGCTAGTCTCCCCGCCCCTGGGTCCATTTTCTTGAGTCTGACAATTCAGTTTTTCCAATCCCGTTCATAGGGGAGCCCTGAACGGCTGTGGGGTTTGTGTACTGCACAAGGCAGCAAGTCCAGTTCCGCTATAATGCACGTCTTTTGTCATTTACATCTATTGTGGCCACATTCCAACATATAAAAGTGAAAAACGGGGGCGCCTGGGTGGCTCGTCGGTTAAGCGTCTGACTCTTGATTTCGACTCCGGTCACACGTGGTCTCACGGTTTGTGAGTTTGAGCCCCGCTTCCGGCTCTGTACTGACAGTTCAGAGCCTGCTTGGGATTCGCTCTCTCTGCCCGCCCCCACCCCCCAGCCCCCACCCCCTGCTAGCTCGCTCTCTCTCTCTCTCTCTCTCAAAAAAAATAAACTTAGGGGGAAAAACGTAAAAAACGTCAGAAGGAAAGGATGCTTTAACAAATGTTTTTCACACAAAGGCGCACTGTGGGCTAGGGGTGCACCTGTAACACTGATGCCCTGTGAGTCCTACTTCCGGCAGAGCTCTTAAATCTGCCCACCTCTCATCTCCACCAATTCTTGGTTCAAGTCGCCAGCATTTCCCACCTGGATGACTGCAGCTGCCACTGCACTGGCCTCCCCCACCCAGCATTCCTATCCCTCAAGAACTATATGGATGGACCTGACAGCGATGGGCTCACTATCGTCCCCCTAAAATTCGTATGTTGGAGTTTTAACCCCCAGTACCTTAGAATGTGACTGTATTTGGAGACCCCTGAGGGTGGTCTCTAATCCAATGAGAGATTAGGGCCCGTAGGGGGAAGACCACGTGAAGACACAGGCCACCTACAAACCAAGGAGAGAGGCCTCACCCTGCCAGCACCTGGTCTCGGATTGGGGGAGAAAGTAAATTTCTGTTGTTTCAGCCGCCCAGCCTGTGGTGCTCGATTCTGGAAGGTCTAGCAGACTAATGCACAAGCATAATGTTGAGCAAAAGCAGTGAGACTTGCAATTAGTAGCTGCACGATTCCATTTAAAGGTCAAAGATGGGGTTCCCCCGGGGGCGCCTGGGTGGCTCAGTCAGTTAAGCGTCCAACTTTGGGTCAGGTCATGATCCCGTGGTCCATGAGTTCAAACCCCGAGCCAGACTCTGTGCTGACAGCTCAGAGCCTGGAGCCTCAACCGCCAGAGCCAGATTCTGTGTCTCCCTCTCTCTGCGCCGCCCCCCCCCCATGCTCTGTCTGTCTCTCTCTCAAAAATAAACGTTAAATTTTTTTTTTAAATAGGGTGACCCATGGGGCGCCTGGGTGGCGCAGTCGGTTAGGCGTCCGACTTCAGCCAGGTCACGATCTCGCGGTGCGGGAGTTCGAGCCCCACGTCGGGCTCTGGGCTGATGGCTGGAGCCTGTTTCCGATTCTGTGTCTCCCTCTCTCTCTGTCCCTCGCCCGTTCATGCTCTGTCTCTCTCTGTCCCAAAAATAAATAAACGTTGGAAAAAAAAATAATTAAAAAAAAATAAATAAATGGGGTGACCCAATGACAAAGAAATCAGGATGGCAACTTCTGGGAAGGAGACACGATGAGGGCCTCCGGGGGCCAGAAGTGCCCTGTTCCTGGATCTGAGTGTTGCTTACACGAGTGGGTTCCTTTTGGGAGCATTCATCAAGCTCTATGCTGACAATGTGTGCATTTCTTGTAGTTGTTTTTTTTTTTTTTTTTAAGTTTTGTTTATTTATTTATTTTTTTTAATTTTTTTATCGTTTTTATTTATTTTTGAGACAGAGAGAGACAGAGCATGAAGGGGGGAGGGGCAGAGAGAGAAGGAGACACAGAATCGGAAACAGGCTCCAGGCTCCGAGCCATCAGCCCAGAGCCCGACGCGGGGCTCGAACTCACGGACCGTGAGATCGTGCCCTGAGCTGAAGTCGGACGCTTAACCGACTGCGCCACCCAGGCGCCCCAAGTTTTGTTTATTTTTGAGAGACAGAGCACAAGTGGAGAGGGGCAGAGAGAGAAGGAGACACAGAATCCGAAGCAGGCTCCAGGCTCCGAGTTGTCAGCACAGGGTCCGACGCAGGGCTCCAACTCACGAACCGTGAGATCATGACCTGAGCCGAAGCTGGACACTGTACTGACTGAGCCACCCAGCCCCCCCCTCCCCCAAAGGTTTTATTTAAAAACGAGTCTGATGCTGTATGTTTCTGTGTACATGAAATGTCCACAATAGGCAAATCCCCAGAGACAGAAAGCAGATTGGTGTCTGTCAGGTTCTGGGGAAGGAGGGGTGGCGAGTGACTGCCTAGTACTACTAATGGGTATGGGATCTCCTTTGGGGGTGATGAAAATGTTCTGGAACCAGACAGAGGTAATCGGTCGCAAAACATTACGAACGTAGGAAACACCCACGAAGCGTACGCTTTAAAATATTCGAAATGGTGAATTTCACGTCGTGTATATTTTACCACAAGAAAATAGGCTTATAAATAAGTTAGTGAGAGCTGACGCTCTGGAACTGTCTCTGGAGCTAAGGAGGATAGTTCTACTCTGAGTGCCCCTGGGAAAAATTCAGAGAGGGCAGGTCAGGTTAAATGACAGAGAATGGGAGGGGCAGAAGGGGGAGTTGATTTGAACAAACTTAAGTATAAATGACATTTAGGGCCGAAGAGTCATGACGTCTGTGATTTACTACAGCTCTTTTAGGACGATAGGCGAAGGACGTAGGCTAAGATGTCATCGGCAGTAAAGTCTCAGCAGTGGTACGTGAGTGGCAGCATTTCTCAAACTTGAGTGCCTGGCGGAACACCCGGAGGGCTGATGGGAACACAGGTCCTCGGGCCCCGGAACTTTGGGTTCTGCAGGCCCGGGGTGGCGTCCGAGAAGCTGCATTTCTGGCACATCGCCACGCCATGCTGAGGTGCTGACGCTGCTGGTCTGGGGTCCAGATGCAGACCAGATGCCGCTGGTCTGCTGCATCAGACAACTGTCGTGACGTTTCTGTGGGCTGGAAATCCTTCACAACGAAAAGCCAAAAATCCATGTCCAGGGTGGGAGGGGACTCCTCAGGGGGCAGCGCCTGAGGGGACCTGGGGGGAGGAGGAGGACGTGGGTGGGAAGATGCTGAAGGTAGTTTGCCTCTGACCTGGATTTTCTCAGGGTGAGCCCGGGCGCTCAGGGGAATATACTCCATAGCTGCCTGTGCCGCCTCGTGGGTGGCCTGGGTCTCTGGGGAGTATGTGGCAGGGCCAGGCATGGGGGTGGGAATATCTGGGATGCTATAGGAGAGAAGCTGGCCCTGGGGAGTGGGGAAGCTGAGCTGGGGAGGGTAGAGGGGGGACCCGGGAGGTGAGAGACTGGCATTAGCACGGGGTCCAGACTCGGAGTGAGCAGGGAGCCCTCCAGGTTGGGGCTGCAGATGGGGAGGGGTCCTTGAAGTGGTTGACAGGGGGGGCTGGGGAGGAGTTAGAAGGCTCGCTCTGGGACGAAGGGCTGGACCGTGTTTGGGGAGATGCGTGTTTTCCTCTTCGATAATGGGTTTGTAGAGTGGTGGTGGTGAACATTCTGGGCCGGTCAGGGCTGGGCATTCTGGTGGAAGGGGGTTTGCAGTGTGGAGGCAGGAGTTAGGCTGGACGAGGCTCCTATTTGCTCAAATTTGGTTCCGAGACCTCCTGGGACAAGATTCTGGGCTGGCTGGGAGGAACAACCTACTCGCAGAAAAGCAGGTCCTTGGACGAGTAACTTCGTCTCTCTGTGCCTCAGTTTCCTCTTTGAAAAATGGGGATTATAATAACATCTACTTCCTGGGGGATTAATGAGTTCCTATTCATTGTGAGTGAGTATTACCAGTTACCACTAAAGTACTTAGAACAAGCACCTGGCACATGAGTGTTGATCACCACCATCATCACCATCATCACCATTATTATCACCACCATCACCATCACCATGATGAGACTCCTTGTCTGCAACGTAAGGACAAAGTCAACCTACTGTGCAGGTCTGTTGGGAGCATTAAGTGACATATTATATGTCAAAGCCTTAGTGTGGTGTACCTGACACCTGAAAGTGCTCAAAAAATGGTCACTGTCACAGAGCGAGGAGAGAGCACAGGGTAGGGTGGGATGGGGCTGGGCGGGGTGTGAGAGCGGGGACAGGTTTGAGCAGAGAGAACTGAGGAGCTGAGGTTCCCATCTACACTCCCAGAGACGGTGAAGGACATTGCCCCACAAAGGGAACAGGATGGGCAAAGACCAAGAAGTTGGATGGTCAAGTGCTAAATGGGGAGCTCCTGGTTCTTTAGAACCTAATTCCCTCCCCCCTGTCCCCCTTTCACCCTATTCTAGCCACATTGGTCCTCAAACATTCCAGGGATGTTCCTGCCTCAGGGTCTTTGCACTTGCTGCCCCTTGCCTGGAATGCTCTTCCCGCAGACATCCACAGGTCTTATCCTCTGGCTTCAGTCAGGTCTTGGCTCTGTTGGCACCTTCTCAGCCGAGCCTTCCCTGACACCTTACCCAGTCCTTCCCCCACCCCCGCATGCCCTCCATAGCACTTATCACCTTATAACATGCCATATCATTTTAAAAAATTGAAGTGAAATTCACATAACTGAACCCCTTTACACGTGCAGTTCAGTGGCATTTAGGACATTCACAGTGTGCAACTACCACCTCTAATTAGTTCCAGAACTTTTCATCACCCCGGGAAGAATCCATGAACCCCCTGCCAATCACGCACCACCCCCACTTGCCTCCAGAGGTGCCTCCTCTGGCCCCGCTACCCCGCTTTCTGGCTCTGCCTGTTCTAGGCATTTCACACAAATGGAATCATACAACAGGTGGCCTTTTGTGTCTGGCTTCTTTCACACGGGATCGATCAGCTTTCCAAGGTTGGTCCGTGTAGCGTCATACTGTCTCACTGACATTATGTGGCTGTCCCTTGCCGGCCACCTTCCTGCTGGAACACAAGCTCTATGAAGGCAGGGAATTTTGTCCGCCTTGCGCTAATGGATCTCGGGCCTGGCCCACAGTTTATGCTCAATAAATGCATCCTGAGTGTTGATTGAATCCAGCCCTGGGGTCCCCTTCTCTCTGTTCTGTCTGAGCCTGGTCTCCCTGACTCTGAGGTGTCTGACCCCTCCCCCTCCCCCTCTGCCCATCTCCCACCCTCCACCCCTCCTCACCTGCAGATCTGGTTGTGCAGAAACCTCCTGTGGTTGGGCCTCCTTTTGGGGGGCCGGGTCCTCCGAGGGTGTAGGGCACGCAGCACGTGGGCGGCTGCCCCACTCACGAAGGCACACAGCTCCCGAGGGCTGGGCTCAGAGCCCCCAGAGGCTGTGGGGGCCCCGGGGTGCATGGCTGGGGTGATCTAGAATAGCCCCTCCACAGTATCGCTGCTGGTCAGAAAGCTGCTTCCACATCTGAGGAGAGAGGAGCAGCCGGGGCTGGGGGCTCGGGGCTGGGGAGGCAGACAGGAGGAGAGAGGGCTCTGGGCAGGGTAGGCCGACTCTGGAGGGGGGCCACCGCTCTAGTTGGAGGAGACAGGGCCCCGAGAATTAGGGCAGGCCCTCCCTCCGGTGCCTCATCCCCACCTCCTGGAGGCTGGATGCTGAGCTTTGAGGAGCCCGTGGGTGGAGGCTGATATAGGAAGGTGAGGGGGGGCTTTATGTGTGCCCCCCAGGGGCCCAATTAGCACATAGTTGGACCTGGGATATGGGACAGGGCAGCATGGTGGGGGGCAGAGAAAGGCGCCTGGAGATAGCCAATTAAGGGGACAAAGGCCTCGTTAGGGAAGCGAGGCCAGGGGCTGAGTCAACCGGCAGCGATTAGCGTTGAGGACCTTTAATTGGAGGGGAGGGGAGGGTGCGGCAGGAGGCTTGGGTACGGGCTGGGAGGGAGGGGGAGATGACCCCCGGGGAGGGCTGCCGGGAGCCTTCAGCTGTGGAGCCGACGCTTGGGCACCGAGACTCTGCCCACCTACCTCCAGATGCACCCGCCTGGGCCTCCCTGCCTCTCTGTGCCCCGGGCCCAACCTCCTGGGGAAACTGAGGCTCAGAGAGCAGGGCTTGCCTGTGCCCAAGGCCTCCAGCCAGCCGGAGGGGCTGGCTTCTGTGCAAGAGGGTTGTTCCCCAAACCCTGACTTTCCACCAGAGCCGCTAGTGAGTAGGGGAGAGGGGAGGATACACGTGCTGGCCCAGCTGGTTGCTCAGGTGGGTGACGCTAGGGACTGTTTTTGGCGCAGCCTGGCTGTGGCCGTGGGAGGGGAAGACAAAACATGGGTGTGTGGTTTCCCTTAAGGCGTTTTACTGAGGGACTGGGGGGCCCTTGGTATTCGGGGAGGCAGAGAACAGACTGGGGCATGGCGGGGTGGAGAGGCTGGCTCCGGCGGGGGGTGGGGGTGGGGGTGGGAAGGGGGTCCTCTTGTCTCTGGAAGGGCGCTGGCCGGAGTGGGGGGGACCCTGGCCCGGGCTGGTGTGGGGATAGTGCTGCGGAGCTTGTTGTGAGGGGGCCGCGCGGAAGGTTCGCGTTGGGGGGCGTGCGGATCACCTGTGGCTACACACTCACACACACCCAGTGCCTCATAACCACGTGCACCGATTGCCTTGCACTTCTGGAGGTCAGAAGTCCGAGGCGGCTCTTACGAGCTGGAATCAAGGTGTTCCATCTGGAGGCGGCGGAGGGAGAATCCACCCGACCCCCCCCCCCCCAACCCCGTGACTTTTCCGGCTGCCAGAGGCGCCCGAGACTTCTCCAAGCTCACGCTGCGAGTTGAGTGGCAGAGCCCGGACCCGGAAGTGGCTCAATGTGGGCCCGACACCGTGCGTTTGCACGGCAGGTCTGTCTGCTGCAGGGCCAGCAGCAGGGGGTCAGCCCAGGGCTCGGACGGGGACCACCAGGCAGGCAGGCTGTGCCAGCAGCGGGCGGCCGCTTGGCCTCCCTCCTCAATCTCTGTCTTGGCCTGGGCAAGTCGTGTGTGTGTGTGTTTGCCTGTGTGCGCACAGCCTGGACGCGCGTGTGGTGTTGTGGAATCGCCTGGAAGCTTTCCCGTCCTGTTACTTTCAGGCCCCGCGGGGGACGCAGAAGGTCGCTTGGCAAGGGGCTGTTAAGGGAGTGGACCCCCGGGTCTCTGGAGAATTGGAGGTCAGGGCTCAGGCTCAAGGACGGGCCGCCACTGCGTGGCGGGGACCCGACCTTTGCTAGCCCACCTCCAGGAGCTGGCTTGCACCCATGCCACCAGGAGCCGAGGGCGACATCTGCTAGCCAGCCCTGTCCCACCGACGGGCAGGGTCGGGAACACACGTGGGGCCGCTGGCCGTTCTGGCTGTGGCCTGGGGACGCGCAACCAGGGGGCGCCAACATCCCAGGTAGGGCCGGGAGGCCGTGCGGAAGCAGCCTCGCCCTCACCCTTGGGCCCCCCTCCTCTTCTCTGGTGGTGGATAAGAGTCACCCCCAGCTGGGGACTGGCTTCATCTGATGTTTGTTGAGGACCCGCCCTTCCCGCTATTACAAGGTATATACACAGGCTCCCTTCCCCTCGTCCCAGCCCTTGCAATTCGAGGCGGGTTATTTCATAAACATTTATTGAGCACCTACAGTAGACCGAGGATGTAGCAGTGAGCGAGACTAGCACAGTCTGTCCCTGGAGGAGTCTGGGAGTGAGATGCCGACAAACAAGAAAAGACCGGTTCAGGGTGTGCTGGACAGTAAGTTGGATGCTGGATGGGGAAAGCGTCCTGCTTCGGATGGAGAAGCCCTCTCTGAGAAGGTGACAATTGTCCTGCAACCTGAGCGGAAGAGGGGGCAGCCAGGAGCTTCCCAGGCAAAGGGCACAGGGCAGGCAAAGGCCCTGAGGCAGGAGCAAGCTTGAATGAGGTGAGAGAGAGGGAAGGATAGGAGGAGGTGAAGTCAGAGAAGGGGCCAGGGGCCAGACCTGAAGGGCTTTGTAGGCCAAGTAGGAGTTGGGTTTTGAAGGTAAGAGTGACGAGGGCTGTGCTAAGTTCGATGTAGGGGTAGCGTCGAGACCTCAGGGCCCTGCCCAAAACTTCCTTTGCTGTCTTTACACCTAGAATGTGGAGACTCCACTCCTAAACCCCCCTCTAATATGGGGAGGGGGAAGCGAGAAGCTGAGATGTCAGGGCCAGGCCAGGAGCCCAGGCAAAACTTGTCTGTCCTTGCTTGCCCCATTGTGCTCATCTCCCACCTCTCCACCTAGTCCCAGAGGGACTCTGGTTCCCTTAAAATTTATTGTGAAAATGTACAGGTGGCAGGTTCCTGGTGTTTTCAACCCAGAACTCTGAGAGGCCAACACTATTATATTTATTTCCCATGTTTTCTTCTGAGAAGAGGGATGTTATGGGCTAAATTGTGTCTCCCCAAATTCATCCGTTGAAGTCCTAACCCCCATATCTCAAAATGTGACTGTGTTCAGAAATAAGGTCTTTATTTTTAAAAAATGTTTATTTTTGAGAGAGAGAGGTGGGGAGGGGCAGGGAGAGAGGGAGACAGAATCTGAAACGGGCTCCAGGCTCTGAGCTGTCAGCACAGAGCCGGACGCGGGGCTCAAACTCACGGACTGTGAGATCATGACCTGAGCTGAATGAAGTCGGACACTTAACCAACTGAGCCACCCAAGTGCCCCAGAAATAAGGTCTTTAAAGAGGTGATTAAGTTAAAATGAAGTCATATGTCTGAGCCTAATCCAATTTGCCTGGTGTCCTTATAAGAAGAGGAGATTTGGATACAGACAGGTACAGGTAGACCATGTGAAGACACGAGGAGAAGAAAGATGTCTACAAGCCAAGGACAGAGGCCTCAGGAGAAACCAGCCCTGCCCACACCTTGATCTTGGACTTCTAGTCTCTGGAAATGTAAGAAAATAAATTTCTGTTGCTTAAGCCACCCAGCCTGTGGGACTTTGTTAGGGTGGCCCTAGCAAAGTAACACAGAAGTGTATTAGTTATCTATGCTGTGTAACAAACCCCCACAAATACCATGGCATGAAACAGTGTATACTAATTTTCTCCCAGTTTGCATGGGTCAGGAGTCCAGGCACCACGGCTCACCGGGTCCTCTGCTCAGGGCCTCTCGAGGCTGCAATCAAGATGTAGGCGGGGGCTGCAGTCTCATCTGGGGTCCGGGTCCTCTTCTAGGCTCACATGGAAGTATTCATTTCCTCACATCTATAGAATTCGTGGAGGTGGATGGCTTCAAGGCCAGCAGGAAAATCACTGATGGTTCGCATCTCTGACTTCTAGACCCAGTTTTGAAAAGCTTGCCTGATTATATCAGGCCCACCCAGAACAACCTTCCCGTGTCAGGGTTCTTCGGGGAAGCAAAACTAATAGGATCCATATCTACCTGTATCTATATCATCTATAGCTATAGCTATAGCTATCTGTATCTATTCTATCTATACATACAGTCAGAGACACACAGAGATGTTATATATATTTTATATATAAAGAGATTTACTATAAGGTATTGGCTTGTGCCATTATGGAGGCTGAGAAGTCCCATGATCTGCCATCAGTGTGCTGGAGCCCAGGAAAGCCAGTGGTGTGGTTCCAAGTCTTAAGAACCAGACAGTCCATGGTGTGGATCCCAGGGTGGGTCTGAAGGTCTGAGAACCAGAAGCGCAGAGGGCCGGCAAAGATCAACGTTCCAGCTCAGTCACGTAGAGAGGGAATCCAACCTTCCGCCCTTTTGTTCTAGTCAGGACCCCCGTGGATTGGGTGATGCCCGCCCACCCTGGGGAGGGCCGTTGGCTTTACTCAGTCTACTTATACAAATGCTAATCTCTTCCGGAAACACCTTGGCAGACGCGCCCAGAAATCGTGTTTCACCAGGTACCTGGGCATCCTGTGGTTCAGTTGGTGGACACGTAAGATTAATCATTACATTTCCTTTTGATTAACATCAGCTGATGGGGAGCCTTGATTGCACTTGCCAAAATCCCTTCACCTTTGCCAAATCACATAACCTATCGCAGGAGTGCCATCCATCATGTCCGCAGGCCACCTGAAGAAAAGGCACTTGGTGTACAAGGACATGGGTCATTGGGGATCATCACGGAAAGTGGCGGCCACTCCTGGGGAGGGCAGTTAGTGTGTATCTGTCTCTGGCCACATTTCTGTACTTAAAACAGACGAATCTGTTTTCTTTCCTTTTTACTTTTATTTTTTTAAGTTTATTTATTTATTTTGAGAGACACAGGGACAGCGCCAGTGGGGGAGGGGCAGAGAGAGGGAGACAGAGATTCCCAAGCAGGCCCCCCCCCCCCCCCCCCCGCACTGCCAGCGCAGAGCCTGGTGCGGGGCTGGAACTCACCAAACCCTGAGATCATGACCTGAGCCGAAACCCGCAGTCAGGCGCTTAACTGACTGAGCCACCCAGGCACCCCAGGAATCTGTTTTCTAGGTACAGATGGGACTGTGTGACCTGGTGTCAGCCCTGGTTTCCTCCAGGGATGGGCAGGGAGGCTCCTCTGGCTCCCATGCACTGGGCCATGACCACGCATGTGGGGACCTGCCAGATAGGGCTTGGATTGGGGGGGGGGGGTAGACTCTGGGGCTGGAGACACCCTCAGTAAATCACTTCCGGGTTACAGGAGTCACTTCCTGGCTATAGCATGTTTCATCACTCCCTGCATATAGGATGTATATCACTTCCTGGTCCTGTGTCTGGCCAAGAGACTTTAGAGGGCCTCTATTTGCCACCCCCTCCTCTCACCGCCCCCGCCCCCGCCCC